ATTATTTCAATAAGTTTCAAATTTCTTGAATAACATCAACATACATTTGTATTTATTTAAAATTGTATTCATATTCCGAAGCAGAATATTATTCGGACAATTTCAATCCATCAATAATATTATTTAATATTATGAACATTGCATTGTTTGGTAAACGATCTAAACATAACCTAATAGGTATAGTATATTATAACCTTTATACACTATTGAAACTCGCAGAAATAATACTATTACATTTTAAGTGTAATACGCGTAATTACTGGTTTATTGACAAAACATTAAGATTCGATTAACAGCTTAATTTATTTTGACACTGTGCATACAATCTATATAGGTATTGTATAATATAGCGAATAATAAATTATGAACGATAATAACAACAACAAGTCGATCATAAAAATAATCAGCATAAAACTGCCTTACCACGTCTCGGTCCGTTCAGTTCATTTTTCTGTTCCAAAATGCGACTATGAGGAGGTGATTGCKGACTCTCGAACACATCATATTATTTTTATTTGAAAAGTGACAAAATATGTTCTTGTTGTCGATTATTATTATTATTTTCACGTCGTACAAGACGTCTATTGTCGCCGTACAGTTAATTTGTAGTGCATAGAGTTTGCCTTTACATATACCGCGGTTACCCACGCTGCAATATCTAGGTATATTCAATCGCCTGCAATATCGTATTTTTGGTTTGCAAGGAGTCAACACGAGGGTCCTGTCATCGAAACAATAAGTAAACACTTTCAAATAATATTTAACGCTTAAATATAATATTAATATTATTATTATGCATAGACTAGCTTATAAGGGATGCCTTCCGTCACAAAACGGACAGACTCCACTGAGATGTGTTATGAACTTATGTTTAGGAACCTAAAACGAATAACCGTTGAATGTTGATGTACTTGGTTATACATATAGAATTACAGATATTATTTTTTTTTAAATATATGTTTTTATTAGCATTTTCTTATATATACAACTGGTATAATTTTTAAAATATTTGACCATTTTTTTTTTTAGCTATTTAGAAACATCTGATATCTCCTATTTTTTTTATACATGTAAGAAAATAAATCACTTGATGAAAGAAGTTGAAATTTCATATATGAGGTTTCTYATAAGTTGTTTAGTTGTTATTTTAGCTTGCTTGCTCAAAACTGTAAAAGGTACCTACAAATTACAATAGGTAAATTTTTTTCATAAATAGGTATTTGAAGATCCGAATACATCGTTATTTTAATAGTTTTAGCCTTTAGRTATCTACCTGTTTTTAGTATTTTCGTGTCGACATTTTATGTTTAATTTCAAAAATTTTTGAATTCTAATTATTTTTTTATCATTAAATTCCTTTTATACGTYCTGRCGTTCCGTTGTAGTATTCTGCAAATCGACTATTCTAAACCCATCTGCAGTCACATTATTCGTTCGCGGTGGTCCCATCATACTATAAATAAGTGATCATATGAACAAATACTAAGTACAAATGTGTTACTGTACTCGAATCATTAGTACTTTGTTAAATTCTCAATTAAACTTTGTTTGGGACTTTACYCCACACCAGAGTACAATATCTCGATATTGTTGCATTCGTTGTTCGTAGGTGCTGCCCACGAGCAGCATATAATACTGTTGTTTGACGTGTTGGAATTTGAAAACATTGCTTATTATTACGACAATGTGATGTAAATTGACAGTAAAATTAAAATTATACTGAATTGCGAGAGTTATTCATCTGTGACGAATGAATTCGTTTGTTTTTTAGCCGAACAATCGCCGCCACTATATGACGTCAACATCCTCATTCAAACAGGTCACCGGAGTCTGGGGACATGGATGTACCGGAAACGCGAACCGCGATTCTCGAATCGTCAAGCAACTCGAGTTCTACTTCAGCGACACCAATTTGCCGTACGACAAGTTCCTGGAGGCTTGGATCGGGCTTGACGACGGCTGGGTGCCGATCAGCGTGCTCTTGACATTAAAAATGCTGAAGTCCATCACCAGGGACCCGGCAGCGATCGCTTCCGCCGTCAGGCACGCTGCCGTCGAYAGCATCGTGGAAGTAGACGACACGGACGTAAAGATCAGACGCAAACCGGAAATCGTCGCGCCCGAGCCCGATAGTGGTCTGTYCAAGGAGATCGTACAACGGTCGATCTATTGCAGCGGTTTCCCGAGGACGGTCACAGTCGACGAACTTTTGGCGTTCGCCGAGACTTTCGGCGACAACGTCATCACGAAAACCACAATTATGCGGTTAAAGTCCAAAGAGTTTATTKGTTCGTTGTACTTTACGTTCAGCTCCAAAGACGAGGCGGATAAGTTTTTGGCGAAAAAGTCTGTAAAGTTCAACGGTGTTGAAATAGAGCGTATGTGTGATTTGTTAGGAAATTTCAAAACTCAGTTTTACAGTCCATTTAATTACTAGTAAAATGTCTTATGTCCCGGYGTACACACCGAACACATAGGTACCTATTATACCCATTAGAAAGGTTTATATTTAGTCTGTTTAGATGCTTTAATTTTATTTATTTTTTAATTAATTTGCTTTGTCTACTAGAGAAACGGACGCAGACAGTCTGTTATTTTACTTTTATTATTTTTCATCTGCATATTATGTAATATTACCTACCAATTAGTTATAAATATCCGATGATTATACAATTGTTTATAATATCTATTGCTATAAGTGTAATGTTTTATATTATATTTTTTATCCTTCATTAAATCATTCAGTTTTAAGGACAATAATTGTGTAATGAAATCGTCACTCTTATCGTTTTTCGATAATAATTATGTATTTAAAAATTAGTTATCACAATATTACAGAAGTTCAATAATTTTTATTTTAAGTATCAAGCTATCAAAAATAATAGAAAGTTTGGTGTAGATTTCAATACCCCCATCAATCATTTTTTGTTTATATTTGACAGTTTTGTCTATGTAACACTCAATTTATCTCTGATAATATCTAGTCAAACCAATGGACTTGMATAGTTTGCATTACAGTAGCATTTCTTATTGTATGAGTCTCCGAAAATGGTTCAAATATAAGGTAATACAGTAATARTGTTGGTAAAGAGTAAACCATTTAACCATCCGATTCAGTTTTATAAAAACAAACAATTTTTATTATAATACCGTGATCCCAAATGGAACATATATACAACGCAGATAAGTCAATAACTACAATACAGAATATCACTAATATATATATATAGAAGCAAATACTAAATCATGACAAATTATATATTTTAATTATTGATATTTAATGGTAATCAGAAACATAAATATATATATAATTTAAAACAATATATTTATATTTGTTTCATAGTATCAAAGTTTGATCGCTGAACAAATAATATAATATGCTTATAATAGATTGTAGAATTGAAAATCATAATAAATTGTTTACATTTTAAGTCACTCATTGATCCACAATAAACTTATCTGATCAGTTTCAAATGGTCAATTTTTAATTTAGAAATCACATAAACTATACGTTAAATATAAGTAGGTATAATAAGCATACATTATGTTTTTTAATCATAATGTGGTAACTTGAGAGAAGGATCAATTAGTGTAGGCTCTTGTCAGTTTCAAATTTAGATTATTCAAAGAAAATATATGTTCTTTATTGTCTTTTATTAACTCAGGGGCAGATCCAGACCAAAATAACGGAGGGGGCGATTTTTAACGGACACACATGATATAGATAAAATTAAAAATATTAATTTTGTTATAGGTAGGTTATTTATTTAATAATAGTAGTATATCAACAAATAATAAATATAACTGATAACATAGTAGCAGTTACGATTATAAAGAAAAATAATATAATATAATCGTGKTACCAGCATAAGTTTGGTATAAAAAAAATAGTTTAAGATTTCCCTATTTACCCTTAAAGTAATTACGTCAACAACTAATGTTTGTTACGGTGAACAGGGGGGGGGGCGATCGCCCCAATCGCCCCCCTCTTGATCCGCCCCTGTATTAACTGTTAGTAGTTTTTAGAGTGARTTTTTATAGCACATTTGTCTGTTATAGACAAACTAATTAAAAAGATATAACATAAATAATAGGTAATAGTATACAATTATAATAGTTTGTACATACATTATGATAATACTTTCCAACATTTGAATGAACTTTATTCAGTGTTCAATAATTCTTAACCAACAAATTTTAAATTACAATAAATGATTAATTAAATAAAAATGTACAAATATGATTTGGACATTTTCTTGAAAGTAGTTTAGTTGGCTGAAATATTATCTTATAAAATAACAGAAGAATATTATAAATGTATTTAATTAAAATATAATCATACTGTGGCTATGATAGCATGTTCTTTGGTATAGTGTTTAGCTTTGGATTCAAATGTTTCTTTATCATTCTTAAATTCTTTTGCCTAAAAATCATAACACAAATATGTAAACTGCAAAGAATCAATTGATTTAATGTACATACAATGTCCAGTACGAGTGGATCATTAGGATTTGGACAGTTCATTAGATTGAATATGGCAACTAATACACCTTCTATGTTAATCAATGGTTTCCATGCACCAGATGGAGGCATTTTTAAAATGTCCAAACAGATTCTGCCACCACTATCAATGTTTGGGTGATAGACAGGTGTTATGAATGTCACTCTTGGAGGTTCAAATGGATACCTATTGAAACACAATTGGGTAAAAATTAATAACTAAATAGCATACAATATTTTTAAAAATAATTCAAATTTACTTCACAGGCAATTCTATTTGCAATTTGAAAATTCCATTTTCATATGGAGAATCTTTTGGTCCGTGGATTTCTAAAACATTCATAGTTTAAAATTTAACTAAACTGTCATCTTAATATACTATTGATTTTTATTTTATAAACAATATAACACTCTTACCAGCTTCTAAAACAGAAGTTGATCCTTCTTTTACGTTCACCTTCATACCAAAAGGTGGTTTGTTAAGTAATTGGCCTAGTTCTTTTTTCATACGTGGTGTATTTAGTAAACTATTTAAAAAAACCGATAAAATAAATWTAGGTTCTATAAGAAACTAAAATCATTCATAATTGTTTTATAATGTTTTAGCAATACAAAACGTTTTAAATAGGTTTTTAGAGACATTTTAACAATGTTGAATTAATTGAGCTTTGTATGAAACAATCAATTAGGTATTATCATTCATTTATTCAAAATATTATTTCAATACTATTATGATATAACTGCCAAGGTAACTATCCTAGCATAGATTAAATTATATAAAAAGAGTTTTACATTTATGTTAAAGACATATATAGGTATACCGGTTTGCTAATAAATTGAATAGATTTTTGAATTTTTGGCAATCGTCTCTTCTGGTTTATCCTGTGGTCCTAGTCTGATTTCAACACTTTTATTTCTTCTTTTTTTTTGATAAAATATTACAGCTTAGCTAGGTATTATAAATTGATTTTAATTTTAAATAAATGTGATTCCCAGAACTGTTTATTTGAATTGAACAGTAATTTTTAAGTGRTGTTAATTTCAAAGATTATAAACAATTTTTCAAATTCTCAAATTATACAGAAAACATTTTAAAGAGACTAGAAGATTATCAATTTTGTACTTCAATACATTCTCAATTAATGAAACTATTTTTAGTTTTAATCAAGCTTAGAGGTTTGTGAGTAGCACTAGTACAGTAGTACAYGCATACAGTTGTAGTTTCCTATAATAATTCTTATCCTTTGGAAATGACTTATTTTTCAATATTTAATCTTGTCTATTTAAAATTTTTTTAAACAATGTATTTTAGTAACAAAAATTAATTCATTGGAACGTGATGATTTTTATGTTGATAATTTTAACTAATCGACCAGAACCATCAATGTTATTGTTTAGATACATAAATAACCATATAGCAGCTATATTATAGCTACACATAATATATACATATATATATTGATTTTGTAAAATTCATTAGAATTAGGTAGTTTTACATACATAGACATGAATACATAGTAATTAATTATGATTATTGATTATAAGATATCTATAATATTCTTACTTCATTGGTACTTGGTAGTTGGTACGATAAGTTTTAGACGTTACGACTTACGAGATTCAAATTTCAAATCGCGAAAATGAAATATCAATAGTAATAGTAATATTAAATAATAAATATCTTTTGTCGTTTCAGGAGATTAAACTGAACAGAGAATAGTGATTAAGTGAATGAAAATATGAAATACTGAATACAGAAATCTCGGTTTTGAAAAAAAAAAAGGCCCAAAGTTTAAAGTTTAAATGTGAATAATGTGATATGTGATGTGTTATTTAATTATTTTGTTCTTTATTTTATTTAACCGGACGGTGGTGATAATATGTTATCTTTAGATATCAGATTCAATCATGTGGTATTATCAGATATTACTRTATTATCCATAGAGTAATCACGCAAATCGTAAACTATTTTTGTTTTCCTTTAGACTTTTCAACTTTAATAGTTTAATATGACGTAGATTTCTGAGATTTTTCATAGATATTTAAGACTTATAAAATCTAAGATATTTCTAAGTTAATGAAAACGATATGAATCAGAATATYCACGGATTTCTCCTGTCAATTATATGAAACAAAAAATTACCACATTTGCCATTCACCTATTAAAAATGGAACCGTTGATGCCATCTGAAATAGCTCGTYTAGTATATGGTGAGTACTTAAGAGTTTAGATTTCTATAATACCAGGTAGATAGTAGTTTAAAAAATCAAATTCGAACGTTCAGCTGTTCAGCAATATATTTTGTTTATCCTGTCTTGACTCTTGAGACTGGACATTATTTGATATGTTGACGGTTGGCATGAGACTACTGTTTTCAATTTAACTCAATACATCAAAACGTGTTCATTAGTGTCCCTTAAATTTTTTTTTTACATTTTTGTTGGTCTCACCCACTTAATTTGTGTAWATGCCTAAAAAAATGAACTACAAAAAGTTTCAAGTCAGTCTATTAAGGGTAACCCGTGCCAACTTGAATTTGAAATTTGAGTATATTAATTACATACATTTTCATATATAACTCATTTACAATTAGGAAAATTAAAATTTGTTACATATTATGTTTTAAATATAATACAATTTTCTGTAAATTATGTTCTTACATAGGTACTTCTTCTTATTTATTATAAATTATAATTTACAAGATATATTGACTTTTGTGTATGAAAGTACTTTTTTCTTAAAATATTATTATGAGTTTTGAACATTACAAATATTGTTATGTTGAATATTATCATATTTTTTCTAGATAAGAATGATTTGGATTACGATCCACGTGCCAATAAAATTAAAACCAATTTTAAAAGTTCTATTCCAGCTATATAACTGTACAATGGGATGAAAAAATACTACCGACGTAGAGACTATAGAGACTCAGGTATTGATAGATTACCAATTTTTTTAACCAGTAAGAATCAAGATTTGCTTACTATCAAYGGGAAAAAAACAAGCTAATGCTATATATTATGCATTAGAAAAGTGGGGCGTAACAGATGTTGTTCAAGCTCTATGCTGTGATACCACCGCTTCAAATACAGRGTGTTTAAATGGTGCATGCGTTTTATTGGAGCAAAAATTGGGAAGAGACTTACTTCTTACTTTACCTACCATGTCGCCACCACATATACGAAATAATTTTATGTGGCGTTTTTGAAACTGTACTTCCTCATACAACGACAAGTCCTAATATCCCACTATTAAAAAAATTTTGAAAAATTGGAATAAAATTGATATTAGAAATATAACTTTTGGTATAGATGATCTTGAGTGTTGCACTGCTTTAGAAGATGTACAAAATGATATTCTCCACTTTTGTTGAGCTATGTTGTAAAATAAATGTTACTGAGATGACTATAAAGAATTACATGAGCTATCTATAATATTTTTCAATGGTAATTTGGACAACAAATTTAAAATACGTCCACCTGTAGCAATGCATCAAGMTCGCTGGATGAGTAGAATTATTTTCTGTTTAAAAATATATATTTTCCAAAATCAATACTCTGTATCATCTTCTGAAAAAAATGCTATTCGTGATATTTGTGTTTTTATTGGTTGATTTTATTTAAAAGCTTGGTTCAACTGTACTGTAGCAGCTAGAGCACCGTCAATCAATTTAAATTTTATAAAACGTTAAACACTATATAAAACTGAACACTCTAATTTTCAAAAGCCGCTATAAGAAAAATTAGTAATCATTTATGGTACTTAACAGAAGAGACAGCAGTATTAGCTTTCTTTGATGACATATTATCAAACGAAATTAAAAGATTAATGGTACAATCACTTAACAATGATGGAATTATCCAACCTACTAAGTGTCTTATTGTTTCATTTCAAGATCTTGGTGAAAATTTTTCAGGTGTATTATACTATCGTTTTTGATATTTAATTACATAGTTGTAAGGTTATTAATAGAAAAATAATAATTTTTTTTTGTAGAAAAAACACTAACCTCTTTTATATCAAAGGACAGTATGCAATTTTTTTTCTAGATTTAATATTAATAACGACCTTTTTGAATGATGATTCAAGCACAGGGGACACTCAAATTAGTTATTTACGTGGGAAAAGAAATTGCATGCTTGCTAAATGTAGTAAATGACACAGTGGAAAGAGCAGTTAAACTTATGGAAGATTTTCACGGAACTTTAACCAAAGATGATAAGAAGTCTGACTAGTCTGAGTTGCTATTACAATGTATACAAGAACACAGAAGACTATATCCTGATTGTAAAAAGAAAACATTGAAAAAACAATTTTGACTAATAAAAATTCATAATAATATTTTAAGAAAAAATTACTTTCATACACAAAAGTCAATATATTTTGTGAATTATAATAAATAARAAGAAGTACCTATGTAAGAACATAGTTTATAGAACATTTTATTATATTTAAAATATATTATGTAACAAATTTTAATTTTCCTAATTGTAAATGAGTTATATATGAAAATGTAAAATATATCATTGAATTATGAATGAATTAATATAGGTACTCAAATTTCAAATTCAAGTTGGCTGGGGTTAACCAATAGGTTGACTAAAAACTTTTTGTAGTTTATTTTTTTATGCATATTCACAAATTAAGTGGGGAGACCACCAAAAATGCAAAAAAAAAATTTGTAGTTAAATAAGGGGCACCCTAGTGTTCATGAATATTTTAGTTAGCTATACAATATTATTTCTGGTCATAATATATCTGAATGCCATGCTAAAGATTTTAATTACTTTTTTTTATGAAGGAAGGTACATAACAAATTTTTTTAAAACATGATATTAGTGTGTAGGTATTTATAATTATTATATTAATAGAAAAAATTGTCAATGCAGGTTATCTAAAGAAAGAAAAAAATKAAGAAACTGCTAATTGTTTTTTAAAATCCTCTCCTTGTTTAACTGAATGTTATCAGATGTTTAAAAATAACAGAAACTTCAATATAAAAGTGAATGGGTTCAATTTACATGATATATTTGAAATTTTTGGAACTATGTGTAGCATGAGTAAGTTTTGTACCTATATTTATTAGTTATTATTTTTTATGAATCATAAATTCAAGAAATATTGTTAATGTTTATAATATTTAAAAAAATGTATAATATAAATTGGTTTTAGTTGAAAAACGAATATCTAAAGCATATGAATCGAAAACATTAATTGAGAAGTTACAGTATTTACTAGATTCAGATCATACATCAACCAAAGAAGATAAATCTTTTGAGACCAAATTAAATATGGTTGACAAATGTGTTGGTAATACAGTTCATACTAAAGATCAGGGTACACATATTTCAATTAGTATAGAAGCAAATAAAAGTACACCTGAAGATTCATTAGAAATTCCATTGTTTACTGAGATAATTTCTAATAATGTTTCTAAAACGAAAGAAATAGATATATTTAATAATGAGACCATTATAACCAATGAGGAAAACTCAGGCACATTTTCTTCACCCTGTTTATCTTCAATGACACATTTAATAAATAATAATGCAAGCACAACATTTTCCAAAATTGACAACAAAGAATCTCCAATATTTCAAATCCATAAACATATGTGTAGTACTCCAGAAAAAAAATATGATGGAACAAAAATAAATATTGAGTCAATGCTACAATGTAGTCCAAAAAATATTCATAATTCAATTTCTGTGTATGTATTACTATTATAAATATTTATTATAAGTTTTAGTAATACATTTTTGCTTTACATTTAAARTCATCTTCCTACATTTCTAATTTTTCTCTACGCTCAGACCTAAAACTAAAAATTATAAGTGATGAAGCTAAATGTTTCTACAAAAGATTCCTCTATCATCCAAGTACTCATTCGAATCCCCTCATTAAAAATTTGGCCTCAGCTACTATAACTGGTAACTCACAAGACACCTGAATTGTAAGTGATGTTGTGACCTATTATAATAAAAACAAATTGTAAYATAATTGAGTAGCCATAAGAAGTGTAAGTGTAAGTAAGTGACTTTTTTTATCAAAATAATGTAAACTAGTTGTATTTGTTACTTTCAGCTTATTTTCTTATTGTATAAAATGATAAAGATTCTATATTGCTTGTAAAAAAAAATTGAATTGACATTTAAAATGGATACCAATTTCTAACAAATGATTTTGAACAACTTCTGACCACTCTTATGTTTAGAAAATTGCAGTAAAAACTGAAGATATGGATAGTGATGACGTATTTCCTAATATTATTCTTCAAAACTTAAATTTTGTTTAAATAATAAGCTTTTAAACTTTGATGTATGATTTTTAAAATGTAAGTGACTACATTTTTTTTTTTTTATAGTGGTCAGGCTAAACATCAGAAAATACCTGAAGCGACATCACTTGACTCTATGCCAGGATTATTTAAAGAGGATAGGATAAAAGATGGTTCAATTATTATTGATACTGGTGAATTAGTTGATACATTTCTGAATGACCAAAGCTTGTTGGAAAAAATTGCTGATACTATCAATAAATGTTTTGAAGCTCAAAAAGAAATAGAAAGTGTCTTAGATTCTTCTACACTTGAAAAAGCATTAGACTCTGCTCAGTCTGATCCACAAATCAAAAACATACTGGATGAGTTTTTAGGTATGTTTCCTGATAAGATTTGTTAATAACTTATACTTACATAAACTTATATATTTAAAAGTCTTGTAGTAAGTTATTTGAATATATTTATAGAATTTATAATTTTAGGTTAGGTTTAGTAGGTATTTGTAATTAAAATATTTTTTTTCTTTATAGTATTTAGTTTTGAAAAAATGATAAAACTTAAGTTTTTATTTATAATTAATATTTATATAAATTWATTATTAATACCAATCTTAAGCAATCTAAATATATATTTATATTTAGGAAAATATTAATTCTACTTAAATTAAGTTGTAGAGGTACCTAACAAAATTTATTTTTATTATTTTACAATTTATGATTAAAAATGTGTGAACAATTGGCTGTATTGATATTTTGGAAAATAAATTAAATAAATAAGTAATATCCATAAGTATGCTATGCTAACATTCCAAATATGATACTATWAAAGCAACGGTATATTAATAAATATTAACTGTCACAAAAAACCACCCATATGGTTTTATAATTTTTCACAGTGTTAGTCATTAATAATTTTAATATAATTATTCCATATTTAAATAATTAATCAAATGTATAAATTAAATACAAATAATATAACAAAACATAATGATCTATATTTTTTATATCTTTGTCAGTGGTAGATTGAACTTAAATTTTAAATGATGCAATTTCATTTTGAAGTATTTACGACCACCATGCAATTTATGCTATAATATACATTTTTTACTTATCAAAAAGTTAGGTATATGATGTAAATAAAATGTGGCTGAACGATATCAGGCCATGGTCGGACCTTAGCATAGACTTCTGTGAAACCGTCCAACACCCCTTTAAAAAGTGGTTACTACTGCATCAAAATTTAGTCTTTCTGCCCGCCACTGACATTTGTTATAATATTATTTATGACTTTAAATTAGCAACTACTTACTTACAATGTATCATTAATATATTCATGTACTACAAATACATTTTTGTATACATTTCAGTTTTAAATGTTGACAATGCTGAATTTAATGAAAAACCAACTACTAATGTTCATCCAGACTCAATCAAATCCCGTCTACGTAGTGCCAAGAAAAAAAGTACATAATAGATCCTTAATGATTGTATACAATTAATAAGTGTTATGGTTTTTTTTATGTTTTTATAGATGATGTACCATACAAATTAAAAAAGAATGATTTTAACACSCCAAAACATATTGTTTATGGTAATGAAGAATGTATGAAAGTTGACAATAATATTGTATTGATACATGAAGGTAATATTAGAACAACAGTTCTTCATAATTATGATTTGTTATCAAATCAATTAGTTCTACAATCAAGTGACTTATATAACTTCGACTCAACTAAAATAGAACCAGGTATGCTTAATAAGATTAAATAATATTTTTATTGAAATCTTTATCATTTTACTATAATGGTTTTTAGGTACCTAATTCACTATTGATATTGAAAAGCTAGGTACTAAAGCTCATAATTTTATATATTTAATATAAAGTGTAGGTATACAATTTAACTAGTCTAAAATGTACACAATATAAATTGATAGAAGTAATTAAAACTGTATAAACTGGCAGCTTAAATAATTCAATCCACCTCTTCAAACAACTGAGAAATAGGCTTAACTATTTATATATTCATAATTTAATGATATTCCTATGTTTAATAAAAATAGAGCAGCAAGATTAGGAAGTATATTTTATTATTTTACTCAAGACCCACCCAATTTTTAAGACAGTTTAATATTCAATTGAACTGCTTGAAGTACATGTTCTGCGCCACTTCTCGCATCTTATAACACCTTATGTTGTCAACAACAATTATTTTTAATTAGTAAATAGAGTATGTACATGCTTAAATAGCATGAGGTTGTTACGAGTGATAAATCTAATACTTTTTAAGGACTATGTGATATATTCAGGCACATTCATAGATATTATTGCCAATTAATATTAAAATAAGTCTATAGAAATTACCTAAGTTGTTAAAAATTATTTGAAAAAGAATTATTTGATAATTAATAATTATATTATTTTAAACTTTTAAGTAACAGCTTGTCATTATGAGGATTAAGGGTTGCATCAACTCTATCATTTTGTGCACTGTATTTCTTTTTGCTCTTTTAGRACATTAAGAAAAATGAACGAATTTCAGAATGCCATCTTTATTTTGTTTAAAAATGATGAATATTTTGTAAATGCTGTTTTTTTTCAGTTAAAGAAGAAGAAGATTATTTATCCAAAACAAACTATGTGAAAATTGCTCCTAAAATAACTCCTATGTTAAAAATTCAGCAAGGTATGTACAATTAGTTTGAAAAGTATTATGATAATTCAATTTMTATGTTTTAATGATAATCTTTTACATAATATTTAAATTTATAGAAATAGTATATGATGTATATTTTATTAGAAGTTTAGACATTTTTTAAAGTATTCAAATCATTAAAATTAAGCCAATTAACTTAAACAAATATTTTTACTATAAACATTTTTTCTAAAACTAGATTTAAAAGTTGGTTATTTTCAGTGTTAAAAAATACAATAAAAATGTTATATAATACTGCCGTCATAAGCAAAAACGCCGTAAGTCCCAAAAAAATAAAATATGAGGTTATAAAAAAAAAATTATTATGAAATTCGGCTTGTGTAGATGAATATGCCATATGTCTGAAATATTACTCCAAACATATAATACAATCAATAATCAAATAACTTAAACGCCATAAATCGTAGAAAATACAAAATACAAAAACTCGTTWTTCTCAAAATCGTTCTTTGATGACTTACAATGTTTTCGCTTATGACGGCAAAATACCTATGTGTAGAATATATACATGTAAAATATATTATTTATTATTTATAAACTAGTCAATCGATTATATAAATAAAAAAAATATGGGTTTGAACAAAAGTTATTTCATTTGTCAGGTCTTTCTGTTATACACTGTATACCAATAATAATATAACCACTTATAAATATTGTATTAATGATTTATACTTTTAGCTCATGAAAAACATATATTTCCAAAACAAAGAAAACACCCATTTGAAGTTCCTGGAACAGAGAGCAAATTTAGGAGAACAAATATAACTTCTAAACAACCACCTGTTGAAATTCCTAAACCAATTATTATTGAAGTTCCKAATCAATGTTCATTTAAAACTCAAGAAAAAAATCATACAGAAATTAATAATATTATAAAATTACCTGGAGTTTCATCCAAAGTTGATGATGTGATTGTTCACAATACACCAGTTGRTAGACTAGAACCCTCGAAAAGTAAAAGTGTGAGTACACCTCGTAGAAGAAGCACTCATATAAGATCTTTAGATTTTAGTACTCCACAACCAAAGAATATAACTCAAAATCAGGCTCGTTCAAAACTTCTGTATGATACACCAAAAAGAATTGAAAAATGTTCAGAAGAACCTTCACCTAGTCCTTTACCAATACTGCAAGCTGAYTGGGGTTCAATTAATGGATTTGAATCAATTGTTAAGAAAGATAGTGTTAAACACTGGGATACAGATATTAGAGAAATGGTAGGGGCTGGAATATTAACATTGGATGCTGATGGAAGAAAAACAAGAAGAAAAAAAATCCCAAGGAAAAAAATTAAACCTGTCAATGATCAAAATAAATCCATAGTATTGCTTGAAGAACAAAATAAATCTTGTTATGATTCAATTACAACAAATGAATTATATACTGATGTCTCAAATATTACTGAAAACACTAATGGCGGTTTAAATGAGCAAGATTCTAGTAGACCACCACAAGATGGCCAACAGTCATTAAATAAGCAGACAGGATTTCCTTTTTCATTAGAACCTTATAATAATATTACAGAATTACATGATAAACAATCACCAGTTAAATTRGATGTTTTGAATACATTTAAAAATCAGATTAAATTTCCTTTATCATCGGAAATTCCAGATAAAACTTCAGAATTGAATACTGAAGAACAGTCAGTTAAATCCGATTCTTTAAAAAATTACATTAATGAAAAATTATTGAAAAAGCAAAGTGAATTCATAAACTCTTCAGAAACTTCAAATGAAATAACCGAGTCTAATAATAAACTACATCTCATTGATACCTCAAATAATCAGAGTTTAATTAAAATCAACCGGGAACAGTTCCATGCTAATATTAACAAACAGAAAAATAATCAAAATCAATTAATTGAGTCTTCTAATTTAAAAACTTTGCGGATAAAAAAAAATCAGGAAAAAGATCCTAACATTTTGAAATGGTTTAATAATTTTAAATATTCCTTAACAGAAAAGTCAAATGAACCAAGKAAAAACTTAAAAGAACAAGGTTTACTTAATAAAACTGATACAAACAACTCAAGAGAATTAAAAAGTCCTACAAAAAGTATTAGTATGGAACCAGTTAAGCTTAATCCAGTTGATGAAATTTCATACAAATGTGATGATGCTGCCATTGATGTATCCAAAAATCCTATTTCAAAAATAAAATATGAATACAATCTAAGTAAGCCATATAAGGAAGAACATTATGATGATTCATTGACAGGAACATCTTCAATTAAAGTATTTAAAGAAACATATTTAAATAAACCAATTTCACTACTTCCTACTGCTCCAGTAAATTCAAAGTCTGTTGATACTATGATTGTGTCAGCAGAACAGAATTTTATTGAAACCTCAAACAATACTAGTTGTCAAATTATCAATAAGACAAAAAAAGATATAATTGAATGTACACCTTTAAAATCAAAAGAAAAACTTTTTAGTAAATCTAAAATAACAGATTTATTAAAAAAAAAAAGCATTAGAGCAAAAAAAAAACAACTCTATGAGTCTGTTAAAGTTGAGCTATTTGGAAGTGAAATTTCATCGAGTTCAAGTTCACATGAATTATCTAATACTAATGAACAGCCCAAATCAATAATTATTAATAAAAAACCTCAAGATGAAAAGAAAAAATCTGGTTTCAAATACATATCCAAAAACAAATCAATTAAATCTATGTCTATTGTAAATGGTAATGGTATTAAAAATAATTTGTCAAATGAATTAAACATACAACCATCCATAAAACCAATAATARTACTACCCAAAGATAATAATGAAAACAATTCAGAAGAAATAAAGAATAAAAGTTCAAAAACATTAAAAAAGTTCATGGTACATTTTGATGACCCAGTAGAAAAATTATTTAATTTGTCTAAAAGTCCTAATCTATATAAATCCCACAACAAAAACATTGGTAAAATACAAAAACGTACCACAGTTAATGACAACTCAGAACAGTTGATTGGGTTAAGTAGATATTTGAACAAAAGATCGTCAACAATTTATGACTATAGTCCAAAAGGAAAAACAAACAAAAAAATTAAACCCAGGGTTAAGACCATCAAATTAAATAAAGGTGATTCTAACATTAATTCAAAAATGTATGATGTAGATGGATCTAGTAAGAATCTATTATCAAGTGATTGTAGTGACAAAAGAACAACCCAGGGTATGAACAATCATGGAATKAAATTATCTGAGAATTGTATAACAGATGTAAATAAAGTACCTTATGGGATTGAAAATAATGCAACTCATAAAAAATCCATTTCACCATTGGAGTCTGTAAAAACTATGACTATGGATGACAACATATCTATAACAAAATGTAATTCTAATGAAAATATTAACATCAGTCTTGACATACCTGAATCACCTATCATTAATTACAATAGCAGTGTTAATAATACTTCCTGTGTTACTGTTGAACATGATGATGCTACCTTTGATGTTCGGATTAACCAAATCTATGATCCACTAGACAATATTGAATATTTAAAAAAGTCAAAGGTTTATGAAGTCATTACTGAAGATGGTGACCATAAGGTATGATAATTAAAACAGTATTATAGTTTCATTATAATTGTGTATATTGTTTCCCTTTTAATAACTAGTCTTAAGATTTTCTAGGTATAACTTATAAGTTACTATAGATGTTAAAACATTTTTAAATRATTCTAAATGCTTTTAAATTAAAATGAGTCTTAACTAAAAGAAAACAAACTAAAATCATACTTGTTATTTTTAATATTAAAATGTATATTTAAGTGTATACCAGTGGTCTCAAACATATAGCCAGTGTACCCTTTCTATGTAGCTCACAGTAAAAATACATTTTGAACAAAAATATACCAAAAAATTGTAAAAATGTTAATTTTTTTTTTCATTTTCAATGAAACTTTGATTATGGGAAACTTAACTTTCATTAAATAACTGGATACACTTCCCTACATTAAAACAGTTACCCACGAATAGTAATGATGTTAAAAAATATATTTAACACATTTTATTACTAAAAAATGAATTTATGAACAGGTTTGCAGATTTTCAAAAGTATAAAGATGATTTTCTACTTTTTAGTGAGCCATTTTCTATAAATCTAGAACATGTGAGGGAAGATTTATGGGGTTAATTGATTTGAAATGTAATTTAGTTTTAGAATCAAAATTTGAAATTTGGATCTCCATAAATTTTTTAATATCTTGGAAACAGTTATCCAAATCTAAGGAATCACTTTTCTAAAACTGTAACCATGTTTAGTAGCTCTTATGTATATAAACAATTATTTTCTTTCTTAAAATTAAACAAATCGAAAAGTYGCAATCAAATTTCAAATGTTAGAATACAATCTGATTTACATCTGGCATCAAGAAATTCTTGTGAAAATATAGACAGCTTGGTACAAAAGAAAAGATATCAAGTTTCAAGTGYAGCTYAAAAAATTAAAATAAACAAATCAAGATATTTTTAGATTTTAATACTAATTTTTTTTTAATGTTAATATTCATCATATTTTTTCAATGATAATTTTGTAGTTATATTAAGTTAAATCTACTGCTACTTTGTTTATATTTTTATAAATAATTTTGATAATAGTAATTACAATAAAAATAATTTCATAATATATATAAATAATATATAGTCATTTAGAGAAATGGATTTTGTGTATGTATATTTTGTCTTCATATTGTCTTCAGTTTTTAGTGTATAACTAAAAAAGAGGACACTTAAAATTTGGCCAGGAACTTATTATAAAATATATGGTCCGTAGATAATTTGAGTTTGAGATCATTAGTGTATACCATAATGAAAACTATTTGGTATTGGTTTAGTTGACTTTTGCCAAGAAAGTATTCCCTATACTGGTTTAGTTAACACCTGTCTCTTACTAAAGTTTAAAAAGTACAAGAACTATTTAAAGAATTTATAATTCGGATGGTATAATTATTATACTATAATAATTCGATTAGTTAAAATAAATGTATATAAAATTATGTAAGTATAAATTGTAATTTGCAAAAAAAGAAATTGTGATGAATCATAGTACATTTCACTAAAAATTCTTGGTTTTTTGTTTAAATAACCCATTATTTTGAGTTTATAATATAAATTTTATTGATAATGACTAAATATCAGAGGTACTAGGTACTTCATAATATTACCCACTTATATATTCCTATTTTATAACATTAATTTAACTACACGGATTCTACCAAACATTTTTCTTAAAATATTTAATAAGTGAATTTGAAACAAATACCTATGTTATTAATTTCTGTACCTTTTTATCTGGAGTATAACCTTTTTATAACAGATGGTTAGAATATCAAAAACATAAGAGATGTAAATAGCAGGTGTTAACTAAATCTGAGTGGCAGGGTAATACTTTAGACCARTACCAACTATTTTATCGCCGAATAAATTAAAATGCATAACTCTATATTATTTTAGTATAGTGTACATTACATTAAAAATAAAATACCTAATTTTTTTTAGGTGCTTTAGTTTAATTAAATATTGATTTATGTTTAATTATTGTTATATTTATTAACTTTAATTATTATTTAATATCATTATTTAATTTCATATTTTTCAGATGGTTTATTTAAATTTATCAGAAACATTTGATTTTCTTGAAATACTCTCAGAATTAAACAATGTGCAGTTATCTGATCAAATTACCCCACAGTTGATGACAACAAATAAAATGTTTGACACCAACCTGGAAATGGAAAGTGGTGAATTGAGGKATGATGAAGAAATAATCATATCAGTGTCTAACACTCCTAAAACCGGCGATGAAATAAAAAATGACAAAGACAATAGAGCCAGAAGAAGCCCCTCCTTTTGGGAAGACTCAGTTCATAA